CACATGGTTATCATTTGCATTGGAATGAGGGGTGAGTCAGGTGGTGGAAGCAACTCCAGCCAGACCCCCAGGCTGAACAGAGAATGTGGTACAAGGAAATACGCACAACATATTTGTTGAAAGCACGGACGGATGGGTAGACAGAGGGGTGATAAAGTTTGTTGAGCAAAGCTAAATTAAGCTGAGCCCAACTGAACTGAGTTGAGATGGTTTTAATTGAATGAAATGGAAACAACTTAGCAGAACAATTCTCTTGTACTAAACATACACAATAACAGAGACCATTCTTGGGAAAGTGGTATTCTCAGAGCCAGCAAGGTTACAAAGAGGAAGGAATAACTTGTGATGTGGTCGGACCTGCCCAGACAACATTCAGGATGGCACTATCCTTGGTAGTTCCTGAGGCTTTCCCAATAGCATTTAAATCATCCTCATTCTAAAGAATAAGCATTTTCAAATAGTACAGTCAGGGAGTGGAAATAGATTAAGAGTGAGCTTTGCCGGAGCTATTATCCTTATGATATCATATCTTATGAGAGATCTCATTGCTCAGTGGAGGTGATAAAGATAAGAACATTTATGGGGATGGAAGCAAGCGCTGCAAAGGTGCAGACCAGGTTGATCTTGTTTCCCCCTGCATCTCCAGTGTGTGGAAGGTAATCAGGCCGGGGTTGATGCCCACATGAGTGGATAGTGGTAGACAGATGGGTAGACGAATGAACAGATGGATGGTTGGATCAATGGATGGAAGATGCTAAGCCCAGATTAGGCGTCTACTTTGGGGATCAAATTTGATGCTGTCCAAGGCCTTGGGCCTTCCTCCTCTCTGTCCTCCGCTTTTAATCTGGCTCACTCTTTTTATTCAAATGGCCCTTTGGTTGTTCATCCTCATCAAAGCCTCTTTTATTCAGATACCTTTCAACAGCTAATCCCCACTGCCTCTATCCCTGTACCCTTCCCTCTTCACCTTCCTTCAGACCTTGATCATCACTGCTTCAGTTAAACCTTCTTTCATTAAACCACTCACTTCTCTCCCACAACACCTCTATTTGATGAAATTGTACATCTATTGATGAGATCATTTGATAACTATCTATCTCCTCTAATAGACCATACCCTCTATGAGGTCATCCCACGGCTAGATTTGCCTTTGCTGACCATTATAGATAGCCCAATGTCCAGCACAGCATCAATGCTTCAGGGACAATTTCTGACTCACCAACTGATTCAATTTGCCTTCAGATGTACAATATATAAGAGAATGTTTCAAGTTAGAATAATCGGTAATAAGTATTTATTAAGTACCTATTAAATGCTCATCATTTTACTGGGGTACCAGGAACAAGCCCAGGAGCAAAACCAGGCTCCTGGCAATATTATATCTGTGCCAATTCTTTGCCCTGTGAGGCAAGATGTACAGAATGTCCAAGGCTAGGTAGACAATTAGAACTGTTTCGTACAGTGGATTAAAGATGGCCACAGATCTGTGACACCCCTCTTTTTGAGTCTGGTTGTCCCTGTGACTGTTTGGACCAACAGGTTTGGAGGACAAGAGATTGTGCCAGTGTCTGAACCCAGACTACAAAGGCAACTTCTCTTTCCTGGCCCTTTGCACTCCCTCTGGAAGCCCTGAGTTTCCATTTAAGAAATGCAATTCTCTAACACCACCACGCTGGAAAGGCCATTGGACAGTAGTCTCTGCTGAGCTTCCAACCAGCGGCTCAGGACCAACCTGGTATGTGGACAAGCCCTCTTAGAGGTGGATCACCCAGTCCATCAAGCTCCCCAAGCTGATTCCACATGAGACAAAGACAAGCTGCCCAAATGGGTCCTCCCAGATTCTTGCCATCCGCAAAGGGGAAGCAAAGAAAATGGTTGTGGTGCTATTGAGCTTGGGGCGGCTTGTTAAGCAGCAATGGTGCTATTCTGAGGGCTAGGAAGGAACTTCTGAGCAGGTGCTGTGGCATCGTCTCCCTAATGGTGATACAAAACTAATAAATAGCGGACTGACTCAAGTTTGTTGGGTTGGGGAGTCATGACAATTTAATAGCAAATCACACCCTGCCTCTGTCCCAAAAGTTCAGGACACCAAACATGTTTGTGCTATCAAAATCAGCAATTCAGAAAACTCGCTCGGAGTCTCAAATTTTACATACCTTTGGGTTACATTTCCATTTCAAGTTCAATAATTTCTCTTTGAAAATCTCACCATTATATTTATTAAAAGTTCATAGGCGATCACATCATCAACGATCCTATCATTCTATTAATAGATCTTATTTGTAATTACTATTATGTTACATTATGGCACGATGAATAAAATATTGGCAATTTTTATTTTTTATGCGTCCTACTGAAAGATGAGGTTTGGGGGCAAATGTACAAATCCTGCCATGAGAGAGGATGATTTGCTGAGCCTTCTTTCTGTTGTGTTTTTTAAAAGCACCTGACTATTTTAGGTGAAAGTGTCCGTTGCATATCAGTTTTCTAATCAGCGGTTCACAGGAGCTGAGAACCCAGGCTGGCTGCGGGGTGTGTTTGCGGTGCTGGTAAGGGCTTCCTCCGCGCACACAGCGCCTGGTCGTGGGCACAAAGGCATTGATTTCCCTTTGTCCCTCTAAGGCCTTTAGGGCCCCGCCTTCCAAGAAGGCTTTCTCGCATCTGTGATCAGTATTCCGAGCACAGGAGCACAGACCCAGACTAAGCGGAGACACCAGAGGGCTCCGCACCTGCCAGGTGTGCCGAAGTGTGGCAGGAGACGGCTCGGCAGGGGTGTCGCCAGGATCCTGGCCTGAGAAAGCTTCCTGGGCGCCCTTCATCCCGCCACTTCCTCTGAACAATAGGTGGCTTCAGGATGTGTGGATTTGGTTTTATGAGACCCAGACTGGAGAGGTAGACGATGCCCGTGCTCCAACTCTGAGGCTGTGGGCTTGCGGTGGGAGAATTTAACATTTAAAACAGGAAGTCCTAAGACCCACCCTCTTTTCCTGGGAATGGCAGAGCAAGCTCAGGCTAATTAGCCCGGGAAATCGGAAACTGCCCTCTGAACAGGCAGACACCCCGCCGGTTCCCACTCACCAGCGCGCCCTTGGCCTCGGCGGCAGCTGCTGCAGCCCCAGGAAACTGCGGCCACCTTGCTCTGTTTTTGAACGGAGGATGTAGATTACAAGAGCTTTCTGGATCAAGCGCGATCCGGCGAGATGGAAAGTTAATAGTAATAGAACCCTTTTGTCCGAGGCACCGAGCAAGTCTCCTAAAGAAGGGTGTGGGCAGGGCAACTGGAAAGCCCCGGGGAGCGGAGAACCAGGCTTGGGGTGGAGGCATGGAGTCCCCCCTTTTCCGCGGAGAAGCAGGATTGCAGGAAAAGAAAGGAGGAAGGGGGGTGAGTCCCAGAACAGCTGGGCTGGTTTACATCTGCAGGGCTAGGGCGACAGCAGCCTAGGGGGTGTGATTTATGACCATGGCTGTGCCCTAGCTCGGACCTGAGATGGAGTGAGAGGACACTCAACCTGATTACAAAGCAGCCGAGGGGTAGAGAGGCCTCAGATCGATACACAGCTCATCATAGGCTTAGGAACCGCAACCCAAAAGCCTCGAGGGTGAATTCAAAGAGAAACCATAAAGGGGAATTTGATAGACCCCTCCCTCCCAACCCCCCACTCGACCGAGAACAGGAGAAGGGTGCCGCTTCTTTCAGCGGTGGTGTCACTGCGGTTGATGTCACTCAGAGCAGCAACTCATGCTGCCACCCATGCCCACCCACGCTATCAGACCACACAGAATCCCCAGTCACCGGCACTATCAATTTTAATCACAGAACACCATGTGATGAATGGAGTTGTAGATTACTTAAATATAACATTTCTGAGATTATATGAACACTAACACCTGAACTGGTTTTGAACATCTTTCTATGCTGAATGACAACGTGATGACAGACATACCCTGGAGAGGCTGTAGGCTCAGCTCCAGATGCTGGAAGAACGCTAATATTGCAATAACGCCGTCACACAGGTAGCTTGGTTTCTCAGTGCATGTGGGGCTCTGCTGGCACTGTCTGGTGGTCTATGAAGAGGGCAATGTCCTTCGGTGCTGTCACGTCAGCTCGGACGCAAAGCAACCCTGCGCTTGTACAACAGAAAGAAATACTGCTGCGGTGGTCCTGCCCAGCCTCACCACTGTCATGTTGGAGCCGATTGTGGCTGTCACCCTGTCAGTCCATCACCTCCAGAGCCTTCTGTTTTCCCCCACCCTCTCTGCTTTCCCAGGACCTGGTTTCTCCTGACAACTTGTCCAAAGTGTGCGAGATGAAGTCGCCTCATCCTTGCCTCTAAGGAGCATGCTGGCGAAACACTTTCCGGACAGACGTGGCTGTTGTTTTGGTAGCTCACGGTCTTTCGGCCGTCTTCACCAGCACCACCTTCAAATACGTCAGTTCTTTCGAGTCTTCCTGGTTTTCTGGCTGGTTTTCACATGCATATCACGTGAGTGAAAATACCACAGCTTGGTCCTCAAAGTGACGTTTTTGCTCTTCAACACTGTTAAGAGGTCTTGCGCAACAGATTTGTCCAATGCAATATATCATTTGATTTCTTGACGGTTGCTGCCGTGAGCACTGATTGTAGATCCAAGGAAAGCAAAATCCTTGACACGAGCAATCTTTTCTGTTTATCACGCTGCTGTTTATTGGTCTATTTGTAAGGATTTTTGTTTTCTTAACATAGAGTTGCAATCCATAATGAAGATTGCAGTCTCTGATTTCCAACCCCAATTACTTCAAGTCGTCTTGGCTCTCAGCAAGCAAGATTGTGTTAGCTGCATATCAAAGGTTATTAACAAGCCTTCCACTAATTTTGATGCTGCCTTCTTCTTCACATAGTCCAGCTTCTTGGATTATTTGCTCGGCATACAGATTACATAATACGGTGGGAGCACACAACCCTGACACACACTTTATTGATTTTAAACCACACAGTATTCCCTAATGTTGTTCGAATGACTGCCTCTTGGTCAATGGGCAGGTTCTGCACATCCTGCTCAAGTTTATCCATCCTTTGTTATGATCCACACAGTCACATTCCTTTGCATAGTCAACACAGCACAAGTAATTCTGTTATTCCCCGCCAATATCCATCTGATACCTCTCAGTCTACACCCTTTTAAATGGGCAAGAGCATTAAGAAAAAATTGGAACTACTTTGGGAATTGCCACGTGGGACATAAACCCATGAAGTTAGTTCTTGCTGTTGGGAAAACATGACCAATAGACATGCTTGACACAGGGCTGCCACACACCTCCAATTGTAAACAATGGCGTGTCCGTGAGTGCAATAAAGTGACACTTGTAGTTTCAACATAGTCACTGAGTAGAAGCCTGTTTTGATTTTACTCTGTCCCCTTTAACTGCTAATCCGTTCTCCCCAAGTTATTGATATACATCCACAAAGACCACTTCCCACAAAAGGTTGGGCAACATTGCTGCTGTTGTTAGGTGCCCTTGCATTGGTTCGACCGTAGTGACCCGAAGCACCACAGAACAAACCACTGCCCATCCCGCATCGTCCTCACATTGTTCTTAGGCTTGAGCCCATCGCTGCAGTCACTGCGTCCATCCAGCTCATTGGGGCCTTCCTCCTTGCTGCGGCCCCTCCACGTTACCCAGAATGAGGTCCTTTCCCAGGGCCTGGTCTCTCCTGGTAATATGTCCAAGTAGGTAAGACAAAGGAACACTCTAGCCACCCTTCTTCCAGACAGATTTGTTTGTTCCTTTAGCTTTCCATTACATTTTCAATCGTTTTCTCCTGCACCACAATTCAAATGCATCAATTCTTCTTTGTTCTTCCTTATTCAATGTCTAACTGTCACATGCATATAAGGCTATTGAAAATATCATGGCTTGTGTCAGGTGCACCATAGTCCTCAAAGTAACATTTTTGCTTCATAATACTCTAAAGAGGTCTTGTGCAGCAGATTGACAGAATGCAAGATGCCGTTTGATCTCTTGATCTCTGTTTCCATGTGGATCCAAGCAAGGTGAAATCCTTGACAACATCAATCTTTTATCTATATATTGATGCTACCTATTGGTTCAGTGGTGAAGATTCTGGTCTTCTACTTTGAGTTGTAAGGCACATGAAGGCTGAAATCCTTGATCTTCATTAGCAAGTGCTTCAAGTCCAAATTAGCCACGATAAGAACACTCGTAGCAATGAAAACAACAGGGCATGCAGGTGGATTCAGGTGGTTCCAAGTGCGGTCCTAATGAGGAGAATGTAGCCCTGACTCAAGCAGTCAGTTAGCTGAGCATTTGGGCCATGTAGGTATAGTCATGCATGCAGGCTGGGCTCGTAAAAATGCTTTGGTTGTTATAACCAGCCATGGGGTTATTTTACTAATATATAATATATTTCTGCTGAAATGCTTCACAAAAATGTAATAGACTATCATTTTGGTATCACTCCCTAATGATATCACTGTCTTTTAAATCTGTGATCTTTGAATTTAATCGTTAGTGCCAGTTCTGGAAAAAGAAAAGGAAAAAGGAATCTAATATAAAAGCACTACCTGTTGCAGTTGTGTAGGTTTGTAAAATTTTAAAAACATTCACCCACATATGTGTCCTGAGTTGAGACACAAATGCAGCCTTCTGTACAGCACTGCCTCTAAAGCTTGAAAGCTGCTTCTTTCAGCCCTGGCAAGCACAGAATGGAGTAGAATTGGGATCTTGCAAGCCCTGCAGACTCCCCTCCAGCTGCTCACTACAGCTCAGGTCCTTTAGAAGTGAAATGGAAGCAGAGGCCCCGAAAGGGGGTGCCATTCTTGATTAGCCCCAAACCCCAAAAGGTTCTGAGCTCCTTTTAGTGTGCACAGTCACTTCAGGAAGGTGACCACACTCGGGCAAAGTTCAGGCTCCAAGGAAGTAGTGGAGACTGTAAACTAAAGAAAATCGATTTTTAGCAAGCTGCTCCCAGCAGGCTAAGTGAAACAGGTGGGAGGAGGGGCTCATGGGGGGGAAATATAAAAGAGAAAGGATGGATCAGAGGAGCCATAAGGATACACAAACCATTGTGTTCTCCACATAATAATGTGCCCACCTTAACAACACACACACACACACACACACACACACACACACACATCTAATACAGTCACATGCACAGGAAACTAGTTCTGGAGGGGTTTCATGGTTTGCAAAAACTGTGTCTGACAAGCACTATTTGCATGAAAGCACATTGTGCTTCCTGCTCCCCGCCTTTCACCCCATCTGCCAGGCACACGGATCCTCCCGGAGGAAGCTCAGGCAAGCAGGAGCCTGAGGGGGAATGCCAGCGGGAGAGAAGGCTGGGTCACACCGCCAGGGAGGCATCTACACAACTGCGCAGGCTTAAAAAGTTCTGCTCCCAAAGCCAAAGTCGCAGGTTGTAAAGATAGAAAGGGAGACATTCTTCAAACCAGGAACAACAGCTGCTGCTCCTTATTTAGAGAAGAAGAAAGAACTGGCTTTCGCTTCGGAATAAGACAGGCCATCGTGAGTCCCGGACTGCAACCTCCTCCAGAGGGAAGGGA